ATGCTTTTGTTTGCTTTTTCTTTTGTACGCTTGTAAACTATATAATGATCTTTCACTGGAATAATTTTAACAGCTGTCGGACGAGTGATTTGGAAATGACAGCAGTCCGAAATTGGTTGCCGTTTTTCCATCTCACCCTGTATGGTATTAATTTCGAAAACCCCATTGGAACATCCATTGTACACCCCATCAGAGATCAACGTTCCATGTTATATAATTCTATCTTTATCCATTTGAGCAATGCAACGGATTAAATTTTTAGTACATTTTAAGGCTTTCTACACACTTAAAGTTTAAAGTTCCAAAGCCTCATACCTTACCTCATGTCTACATACCAACATAGATGCACATACAAAATTTCAGGATTTTCACTTCATTCAGCAGTAACTTTAATATTAAAAACATGTAAAAAAGCTGTAAGTTCGGCCGGGTCGAATTTTGAATACCCTCCAACATTTGGAACGAATTTGCCAATTGTCAAAAACAAAAAATTCCGTTTAAAATTCTGTTAAAATCTTAAAAATACCGAATGTAGCTGTTTTATTAGGGTCTATACGACGACGTGGACCTGCATAGGTAACTTTTGTCACAAGCATTTACAATATTTAAATGCGAAACTTAAAAAAAAATCAGTGAAGAAAGTAGCTGAAATCATGAAAATACCGATTATTGGGAGGTACTTTTATATGGGGGCTAAACGAAGACGTGGACCTGCACAGACAATTTTCTGTCTGAGGCTGTAGTATCCATTTCAAACTTCAAATAGCAAATTTGAAACAATTCCGGTGAATAATGTGGCTTAAATCACCAAAATACCGAATATCGGGAGGTGCCATTATATGGGGGCTATACCAAAACGTATACCTACATGGCCCATTTTCAATACCAAAACTCCTGCAGACATAATATATATCTGAGTAAAATTTTATCAATCTTCTTCAATTTATTCGGAAGCTAGAGTGATTTCTACAGACGGACGGACATCGCTAAATCGACATAGAATTGTATGCTGATCTTTGTGGGGTCTAAAATGTATATTTTTGGCTCCATATTTTGGTGGAGGGTGTAAAAATAAAACAACGGATTTTCTAGTGTGTTTTTTTGCGCAGTTATCAATTGCCAGAACATTTTATTTGTTTCATGGTATTTTTTTTGTTTTATTACATGAAATATTTTTCATAGTTAATTATATTTTGTATTTTTATTATTTTTAGTTTCATAATTCTATGATCTTTTTTTTTTTGGTTTTAATACAAACATTCCCTACCTAGATTGCCTTCAATTACCTTTTATTAATTTGTTTAAGTTTTTATTTTGTGTCCACAAATTACTGATTATGTCAATATGTATGTATGTATAATAATTTATGTATGTATCATTTGTGTGTATAATTATTGCAAATATTTATTTCATTTTTCTTAATTTCTGTTTTTTTTTTTATTTTTTTCTTTAAATAGGAATTGTTTCATTATTACATCGAAAAACACATTTATACAACATTCATACATCGATTTACATACTTTTTGTAGTTAGTTATAGTTTACTTTTTTATTTTATTTTTAATTAATTAATGATTTTTTTGTTTCATATTTTAATAGTTATTTGAATTTATTTATTTTTATTGTTAAAGCTTTTCAAGGACAAGTTTTAGTGTTGTTATTTTTATTATTTTTTATTGTAATTATTGTGTAGTCAATATTTAGTAGTCGTAATTATTCTCAGTTATGGGGAAACTCTGCTGTTTTTTTGTCTTTATTGTGAAGAAGTTGAAAAATGGAACTATGGCTATTTTAAGAATTAAGAAAATAAAAAAATCTTTTAACAACAGAAATTCATTTAAAAATTGTAACTAGCTAGATGGTAAATAGGTATCTGATAAACTAATAACAATAAAATGTAACAAGTTTTTTTAAATTGGAAACTCTTTGTGTAAACGGAAATGTATAAAAAAAATTAATTTTTGTTCTCAATAAAAATATACCAGCGTCAGCTGTTTTTTTATTTTGTATAATGATAAAAATAATAATAAATATTGAAAAAAATAAAATAAAATATTAAAAACACAATAGTAATTGAAAACATAAAAATTATGGTAATAATAATAATAATAATAATAATAATAATAATAATAATAATAATAATAATAATAATAATAATAATAATAATAATAATAAGAAGAAGAAGAAGAATAAAAATAATAATAAAAATAATAATAGTAATAATAATAAGAATAAAAATAATAATAAAAATAATAATAATAATAATAATAATAATAATAATAATAATAATAATAATAATAATAATAATAATAATAATAATAATATAAATAATAATAATAATAATAATAATAATAATAATAATAATAATAATAATAATAATAATAATAATAAAAATAATAAGAATTAAAATAATAATAAAATAATAAAAATAATAATAATAATAATAATAATAATAATAATAATAATAATAATAATAATAATAATAATAATAATAATAATAATAATAATAATAATAATAATAATAATAATAATAATGATAATAATAATAATAATAATAATAATAATAATAATAATAATAATAATAATAATAATAATAACCATAATAATAATAATATTAATAATAATAGTAACAATTTTTTTTGGTATATTTAATTTTATTATTTTGCAAACAAGCATGTTTTGTTCATAGAGTTAAAGCATTTCATTTTAGTTAGATATGAATACTTTTGCTTTGCGTAGGGGAGAATATGTTATCAACCAATTGTTGGGGGTTCTATTTTATGTTCATTTCCTAGGAAAGAGGAAATAGAAACGAAAAATATTTTTGAAATGTTAATTTCACTTTAAAATCTGTCATTAAATAAAAAGGACAATTACAGGGTTCGAAAAAAAAGCAGCACACAAATTCAGACTGCTGTCATTTCCAAGCCACTCGTTCGACAGCTGTTAAAATTATTCCACTGACAGTTCATTATGTTGTTCATAAGGGTACAAAAGCATTTTGGTGAGAATCTTCCCGGAAAAAAAGTTATTCGTGATTGAATTCAAGCGTGATAGTGTGATTTCTTTATATTTGTCTGGAAAACCACAACTGGCCTCGTTAGAGCACTCCAGCATTTAAATGTGAATAAATCTTTTGTGTCTCGGATCATCGCTCGATACCATAGCGTAGCCTGACGTCAAGGAAATTGACAGAAGAAAACAGCAACATCAGCAGAATGGTTCGAAAGAAGCAGAATGGTTGAAAGAAGTGCAAGAACTTACACCGCAACAGAAAGAAAATAGAATTAAAAGAGCTAAAGAGTTGCTCCGCTTGGCCGAAAGTGGTGAACTGCCGAATTTGGGGTTTCTCCGACGAGAAAAAATTCGGTGTTCAGCAGTTTGTAAACAAACAAAATGATTGTGTTTACTTGCCAAAGAGGTCAGCTGAAAATCTATACCTTCGTTTGGCCACCAGAACTCAAGCGCCGGCCATGATGATGGTGTGGGCTGCCGTAACAGCCATAACACTTTATATAAGGTTGTCGTTTGTAAAATAACGTAATTCGTTAAAAGATACATTTGTAGCAAAAAAAAAAATTTGGCTATAATAGCAGAAGATCAGTAATTTCTTATCAGGCAATATTTTCATAGTTTGTATTAGGTGGCGGACAACGTGTGCTTTCAAAGGTTGCAAGGCCTAGACAAAGATAAAGAAAAAAAAAAAAACATTATTAAAATCATATTCCATTGATATAACACTGTGTTTTTACGTCTGTAGTAAGTGGCGCCCAACGTGGTTCTACATAGATTTCATTGATCATTGATTAATGGAAAATTTATGGGAATTTTTTTCTTCGACCATTGCAATCTTTGCAAAATTGCAATCATTTTATGTCGCGCAATATTTTCACGTCTGTGGTAAGTGGCGCCCAATGTGAGCCTTTAAAGGGTTCAGGTCAAAACAAAGAGAAAGCTAATGATTAATGATAATAATATACACGGTATTTTTCACTTTTGTAGTAAGTGGCGCCCAACGTGATGCTACAAATAAACGTCATATAACTTTGTCCTTTTTAAGATTACATTAGCTGCTTAGAAAAAAATCTATTAAAAAATTAATAAAATTCAGAACTACAGTCAATGGATGTAGCGCAAAATTTCCATGTAGTAAGTGGCGCCCAACATGGTCTTTTATATTTTGAAAGGTCTTGGCAAATGGAGGAAGAAAATAAAAAGAACAATATAATAAAATAAAAATCACATTCAATTGATATAAAACAGTATTACCATGTTTTGTAATAAGTGGCGCCCAACGTGGTACTACTTGTACTTCCTAACAGTTTGTGCTATAAAAATTGATCTTTATTTTATTTTTTTTTCTCTGGCAATAAAATTCAGAAGTGCAGTAAATGGATACAGCCCAAAGTGTTTATGTAGTAAGTGGCGCCCAACGTGGTCTGCTAAAGGTTGAAAGGCTGAAGAGAGGGCAAAGAGAAAAGGTGTTCGAGTAGAGAGAGTGTGAAACAAGCGATGGAACAACATAATGTTTAACAGTATAGTAGCATACCTTCTGTATTTCACTTGAATAACATAATCTCAATCAACAGAAAACCGCGGTATTTCTTCTTTCGAAGTAAGTGGCGCCCAACGTAATGCTACATATAGTCCATGTCAGTTTATTGTTACTGTCAGGCATTAAAAGCTGGAAGGTTGTGACTATTACTTTCAGCTTGTCTAGCTATGGCCAGCATTCCAACTTCTTTAACATATAATTCGAACAACTTGGGAGAGTTTGCTGGAGGAAAGTTCTCTCCAATTCCTTTCAGCCTGAGTCCCCATAACAAATTCATTTCTTAATGAACAAACTAAGTTAATTTCAAATTTTAAGTTTAGTTCTGTAACATTTTAGGCTCAACAACCCCTCAACAATTGCTTAATTACAGTCCTCCCTTCGTGAATACCCTTATTACCATTTTGAACTGTAGTTATGTTTTTCGCTTAGATTTGTGTGTTTATATGTTTGTTTTTTCAAAGATTTGTAGGTTTCTTGAGTTTGAATATTTCTACTAGTTTTACTACATCTATAGCCAAGGTAGACACATGGAACGACAGGCTTCTCGAGAATGCGGTTCATCGCCGGAACGACCACCACCGCCGCCACCAACACCACTGGCGGTGGCATGGCTCGAATCCTTGTGACTCGCGTCCTTGCTGCCACTTTCCTTCCCGCTATCTTTCCAACTGTCCTTCCCGCCACCTATGCCAACAATTTTGAAAAAGGAACTCCTTCGTCAGTGTTTGCGGTGGGCCTGGGGTGAAGTGGAGCTGCTACCACCGTTATTGGAGCTGGGCGATGTGGAGAGGGAGGAGCCCAAACTGACACTGCCATACGAGGGACGTTTCTGCAAGTTATGGGGTGAGGGAAGCGAGGAGGGTGAGGGTGTGGTGCTGGTTGTGGATGGTGCTGCAGAGGTATTGGCTGCCGATGAGTGCGTCGCAGCAGTCATGCACGTGGTAAACAAAGCGGCAGTGTTGATAATCGTTGGATTTGGTGTGGCCATGGATGAGGCCCGCTGCATGGTGGTGTGCCTCTTGGGTATGACAAAGGCCGGAGGTGGTTGGGGCGTGTATTGGGGTGGTGTGGAGTTGGTGGAAATTTGCCGTACAAAAGGACGTACACCCTGGGCGGTCATGGTGGAGTGTTGTACCGAGCCACTGCGTGCTATGGCACCGGTCCGTGGTGGTATGGCAGGCGGTGGTCCTGGTGGTGGACCACGTGAGCTTCGTCCCGATGAGCCAGTAGAGGGGGTGGGCGAGGTGGCCACCACACTTTCCGTTGAAGTCTGTGATGGTATGCGAGGTGGTAGTTGAGGTAATGGCCCGGTGGTGGCTGAAACACTGCTGCTTTTGCGGGCCCCAAGCGGAGGATGAGCCTTGGGTTGGGAGGAGACTTTCTCGGATGTGGATTTTTGTAATTGTTTGTGCGATGTAGTTGTGGAGATTGTGTGTTGTTGTTGCTGTTGGTAGTGTTGTGGCTGCTGCGAATGATGCTGCTGCTGCTGTTGTATGGTTCCCTTGCCACTTGTCGCAGAAATTGTGGTTGTAGCTGTGGTATGAGTCTTGACATTGGTATGAACCAAACGTGACTGAGGCTGAACCGTGGATGTTGTAATACTTGGTTTCTGCATGGGTTGCGTGTGACGTATTGTTATGGTCTGTTGTCGATTGCTGTTCTGTTGCTGTGAAGGCAAATGAGCTGTTTTATTGGAACTTGTCAGTGTGGTAGTGGAACCATGGCCACCAGATGATGTGGTTGTAGATGACATATGTTGTTGCTGTTGCTGCTGATGTTGTTGTTGTTGTTTTTGCTGGGCATGAATATCCTGTATCTGGGGTGTTATAACAACCGGATTCTTCTTTTGGTTTTGATCTTGTCCAGCCGCCACATAGGAGAAGACACACAAGACCGAATAGCAAATTTGATCGGCCTGGCCAAGGGGTTAATTCACGAAGTTAAAAATGGGGAAAACATTTTATTAATAATTTTATTTTTGGTAGAAAAAAAGACAAGTAGTCTAACAGTTAGCTAGGAGCTAGGAGATGAAGATGAGTTCAGTTAGAAAAAAAAACAAGAAAAGAATTAATTTCAAATCCGCCAAAAAATGAAACGCATGCAGTGTGGTTTTAGTAAATTTTTGTTTTGCATCTAAGATTTCCAGTTTTATTTCGTTTAAGAAAGCAGAAATTATTTTAAAGCATTGTAACTACGTTTTATTATTGGAAAGTGTAAATTTAGCATTTTTTTGTTTTTATTTTTTTTGAAAAAAAACTGTTGTCTAGTGTAAGAAAATAAGTTTTGCTTAAAGAAGGCCTCCTGTATTATCATCATCATCATTGTCGCCACTATCCTCTTCATCACTGGACGAGACTGTAAATGAACTTCCACCCTTCTGCTTCAGATACTTCTTGGTGTCGGTCAGATTATCATTGGAATCCTTGTAACGCCGCTGCTCCATTATATCCGGATGCTGCATTAGCCTCTTGGCAAATCTTATGCTAAACATGCGATGTAGGCAAAATGCAGCCTCTGCTGCCTGTGGCCCATTTCAATTTATTGATTTTCGAATTTTTAGTTTTGATCGGGTGATGTTAGGAGCATTTTGACCATAGTTTTTGTTGTTAGTAATGATGTTTGTTAAGTGTGTTGGTGTTAAATTTGTTAGATTGTTTGTTTGGGTGGTTTGGTGTTTTTAGTTCGCATGATTTTGGATTTTTTTTAGTTTGGGACAAGTACACAAATGTATGCATTTTTGTAAATTTACATACAGTATGTGAGTCATACACAAACACACACACACATAAATTGACATTTACATAAAAAGAAACAAAAACAATATTAAAGAATTTAAGAAAGAAAATAAATCGTTTGGATATAGTTTTTATACAGAACATAACAGAAGTCGGTTGCGAACAGTAACTAGGAGTATATAAAAAATATTTTGGGTCTTAAAAAAGCGTATTATTTCAGTTAGAAAAATTATCGGTAAATTGTTTTTTTTTACAAGAACTTGGAAAAAATTCTTCTTTAGAGACCTCTTTTTTTTGAATTTTTTTCCAGATGTGGCTGTTTTACCCTGATTTCAATAAAGTACTTTTTCCTTTAATTTCCCGGAGATATGACCATAAATTCCGGGTTCCAGTTTTGGAGCATAATTTAAAAGGTGTGAAAACACATATTACCTATTAAGGGGTAATTTCCACCCTCAGCCAATGTTCCACCATTTAAATATTTGACTTCTTTTGTGATTATTCAAATTGTTACCCTCTATGGAGTAAGTTTCGATGGAATGGGCCAATATTGTCCATTTCGTATCGGACTTATTAATATGATATAAATATTGCGACGTGCCAGGTTTGGACTGTATTGGTTACTTCCTTCAGTTTATTTGAGATATGTGATAATTTTTGGAAAATGTTAAAATTTGCGTGAGGTATCAGTCGACCAGTCGATCGAAGTATTCCATTTTTATACTTCATCTAATACACTTAAAAATATTGGTATGGACAAAATTACTAGAAAATCGAACATTTATATCCACTTTTATGCGAAATCATAAATTCCATATTCATCCCAGGTTTCTGGTTGTGAGAAATATTTAGATATAGCAAGTTGCAAGTTCGCAAGTTATGACAGATATAAGTGCTGGAAATTGTGACCCTTTGTAGGTGAGATACCACAACACAACAGATATTGTGTTAGCAAAAAAGGTTCGTTTGTGTTATGTTTTTCAAAATTTTAACCCTTTGTGGTACCAGAAGGAGTGGACCGATATTCCATCTTCACAGCAGATCTTACGTTTACATAACTATTGGAATATGTGAAATATAAAAACAATCGGACTTTTACCTCATATTTTATAAGAGTTATAATTATTCAAAATGTTGACCCTTTGTGGGGGAGGTACTTGATGGAGTGGGCCGATATTGTCCATTTTCGGTCCTGACCTAGCACTGATACAAATAATAGGATTTGCAAAGTTGGATCAAAATAGGATTATCCCTTCTCTTTCTGTGCAGGAAAAATATTTTATTTTTGAAAATTTACCAGAAGGAGTGGACCGATATATTCTATCATAATACCAGACCCTGGGTTAACATGAATATTAGGATGTGAGAAATTTGAAGACAAAAAGTTGTAATTATTCGACATTTTGACCCTTTGTGGGGGAGGTACTTTATGGAGTGGAACAATATTGTCTATTTTCGCACCTGACTTAGCACTGACGCAAATACTAGGATTTACAAAGTTCGATTAAATTTTCGATCAAATTTGAAAATTTAGACCATTTGTGGGGGAGGTACCAAAAGGAGTGGGCCGATATATTTTATCTTAAAACCAGACCTTGGGTTAACATAAATATTGGGATGTGTTAATTTTGAAGACAATCGGATTCTTACATCACATTTTATAAAAGTTGTAATTATTCAAAATTTTGACCCTTTGTGGGGGAGGTACTTCATGAATTTCGCACCTGACCTAGCATTGACGCAAATACTAGGATTTGCAAAGTTGGAGCAAAATCGGATTATCCTTTCTCTTTCTGTCCAGAAAATATATTTTTTCAAAATTTACCAAAAGGAGTGGACCGATATTCCGATTCAATTCAATCTTGGCACATCTTAATACTTTTTCAATAGAAGATCTGTTATAAAGGTGGTAGGTAACGGACCATTCCTTCTGGCACCTACCCCACAAAGGATCAACATTTTGAATAATCAAAACGATTGCAAAATCCGGTTTTCTTCGTACTTCACACATTCCATGATTTCTACTTACATAAGATCTGCTGTGAAGATGGGATATTTCGGTCCACTTCATCAAATACCTCTCCCACAATGGGTCAAAATTTTGATTATCCATGAAGCTCATAAAACGCGAAGTTAACATTCGATTGCATTCAGTACATCTCAATATTTCCATCAACACAAGATATATTCTAAAGACGGTAGAGATCGGACCATTTCTTCTGGTACCTCCCCCAGATACGGTTCAAGATTTTGAAAAACAAAACGCTCAAAGAAAGCGAAAAAATCATCCTACTCTCTTCAAATTTCACACATCCAAATATTTTTGGTAACTCACCCACAAAGGTTCACAATTTCCAATGCCTTTATCTGTCATAACTTCCGAAATGATCGGCGATTCTTTACAACTAAATATTTGTCTCAGTCAGAAATATGAGATGAATATGGAATTAATGATTTCGCATAAAATTGGATATAAATGTTCGATTTTCTTATATTTTTGCCCTTATCAATATTTTTATCGGTATTATATGAAGTACATCACGCATATTTTAACATTTTTTAAAAATATAGTCCAATATAGTCCAAACCTGGTACGTCGCTATATTTATATCATATTTATTTACGTCCGTTACGAAATAGACAATATTTGCGCATTCCTTCGGAACATATCCCATAGAGGTTCAACAATTTTAATAATCATAGCAGAAGTCAAAATATATTTAAATAATCGAACATTGGCTAAGGGTAAATATCTGTCGGAAAAGTCGATTGATACTTTTTAACTTGTTAAAAATTGAAATCAGTCCACATTTTTTACAATTTGCTATTTAAACTTAACACTTGATATTTAATATCCGGGCATATTTTATTCTCCATTGATGGAATTATCAAACGTTTGCCTGGTTAAAGTTATCTTTTCACAAATGTAAGAAGAAATATTTAAATAAACGTCACAATAACTGCTTAACGGAATCATGGACAAAAACTGACAATCTATATATTGAAGTACTATTTAACTACATCTCCTTAAGATCGAATGAAAGAGATAAAAGAACATTGCATCGGCCGGGAATCGAACCCGGGCCGCCCGCGTGGCAGGCGAGCATTCTACCACTGAACCACCGATGCTTGTGTGTTAGTGTGGCTTCACTAGCATTTATATATTTATTTACATTTAATAATGTATGAAAATAATCAATATTGGAATTATTTAAAAGATCAGTGCTTAGTTTTCAAAACTGTAAAGTTCAGATTTTGAATATGTTGGGATTTTAAAATAATTTAAAATCCAATAAATTATTTAAATAGGTTTACTTGTATAATTTACAAATTACGTGTATAGTTAACAAATTATTTATAAAATAAGTAAAGTATTTATAAATAATTTGTAAACTATGCACGTAAACACATTTAAACAATTTATGTATTGTTAAATTATTTCAAACTTCCAATTTATTCATATTTTTCTCGATAAGAATATCTCAACTTTAAGGTTTGGAAAACTAAACAGCGATCTTTTAAATAAAATCAATAATTTTTAGTTTCATATATTATTAAATGTAAACAAAAATATATGTCTGCTGGTACAACCACACTATCACACAGGCATCGGTGGTTCAGTGGTAGAATGCTCGCCTGCCACGCGGGCGGCCCGGGTTCGATTCCCGGCCGATGCAATGTTTTTTATACCCTCAGTCATATGGCTACAGAGGGTATATATCATTTGATACGGCCAAAACGTGCCTAGTCGAAATAACGGATTTAGACCCTAGGTCTCTTTGGACCAAATCCGTTTCAGAACATTTGGAGTCGATCTAGCGATGTCCGTCCGTCTGTCTGGCTGGCTGGTGCGCACGATAACTCTCGAAGGGAGTATCCGATTTGGTCCAAATTGGCTACAACGTAATATTTTTGTCAAACTTAGATCGAGTTCGGAGATGGGCAATATCGGTCCACTCCTTCTGGTACCTCCCCCACAAAAGGTCGAAATTTTCAAAAAATATATTTTTTGCACAGGAAGAGAAAGGATAATCCGAATTTGTTCCAACTTTGCAAATCCTAATATTTGCGTCAGTGCTAGGTCAGGTGAAATGGGCAATATCGGTCCACTCCATCAACTACCTCCCCCACAAATGGTCAAAATTTTGAATAATTACAACTCTCATAAAATATTATGTAAGAGTCCGATTGTCTTCAAATTTCACACATCCCAATATTTATGTTAACCCAAGGTCTGGTGTTAAGATGAACAATATCGGCCCACTCCTTCTGGTACCTCCCCCACAAAAGGTCGAAATTTAAAAAAACAAGTTAAAAAGTATCAGTCAGTATTGCCGACAGATATATACCCTCAGCCTATGTTCGATTAAATAATCGAAATATATTTGGCTAGTGTTACAATTATTCAAACGTTTGACCCTCTATGGAGCCGGTTTCGAAGGAATGGGCCAATATTGTATATTTCGTATCAGACTCAAAAATATGATATAACTATTCCAACGTTTCTGGTATGGACTATATCGACTCACCCCTTACTTTATATGAGATATGTAATAATTTTTAGAAAATGTTAAAAAGTGCGTGATGTATCATATAGAGTCTACCGAAATATTTCATTTTTATACTTCATCTGATATTAAGCGAAATATGGGGCAAAATTACAAGAAAAGTTATTTATGTCAAATTTTATGCGAAATCATAAATTCCGATAAATTTCATATTTATATCAGGCTTCTTATTGAGAGAAATATTTGAGCATAGCAAACAGTAAAGAATTGCTAAATTGTTTTGAAAGTTATGACAGATAAAATTATTGAAAATTGTGACCCTTCGTATAAACTTCACAACAGATTTTGTGTTAGCAAAAATATTTGTGTGTGTGAAATTTGAAAAGAGTTTGATGCTTATTTAGCTTTATTTGTGCGTTTTGTTTTTCAAAATCTTGAACCCTATGTATAGGGGAGGTACCAGAAGAAATGGTTCGATCTATACCACCTTTGTAACAGATCTTATGGTGATAGAAATATTGAGATGTGCCAAGTCTAAATGGAATCGGATCTTAATTTGGCGTTTTATGAGCTTCATGGGTATTCAAAATTTCGACACTTTGTGGGGGAGGTACCAGAAGGAGTGGACCGATACATTCCATGTTGACACCAGATCTTGGGTTTATAAAAATATTGGAATGTGTGAAATTTGAAGACGTTCGGACATTGTATAAAAGTTGTAATTATTCAAAATTTTGACCCTTTGTGGGGGAGGTCCCTGATGGAGTGGACCGATATTGTTCATTTTCGCACCTGACCTAGGACTGACGCAAATATTAGGATTTGTAAAGTTAGAGCAAATTCGGATTAGCCTTTCTCTTTCTGTGCAAAAAATTTGTTTTTTTTTATACCCTCAGCCATATGGCTACAGAGGGTATATATCATTTGATACGGTCAAAACGTGCCTAGTCAAAATAACGGTTTTAGACCCTAGGTCTCTTTGGACCAAATCCGTTTCAGAACATTTGGAGTCGATTTAGCGATGTCCGTCCGTCCGTCTGTCTGTCTGAAATTTTGAGTACCCATGAAGCTCATAAATTAACATCCGATTCCATTTAGACTTGGCACATCTGTCGAAATATTTATATCATATTTTGGGTCCGATAGGAAATGGGCAATATTGGCCCATTCCTTCGGGATCTGCTCCATAGAGGGTCAAACGTTTGAATAACCTTAACACTAGTCAAAATATATTTAGATAATCGAACATAGGCTGAGGGTATATCTTTGGTGGCAATACCGACTGATACTTTTTAACTTGTTTTTTTTTTTAAATTTTACTTATTTAATATGTAGTTTTCATTTCTACCAATTCATTTCGAAATATTCATTTTTCTGCGATTCTAGACAGACATTTATATTTAAATTTTTCTTCTTAAAAGAAAACATTGCACTTGGGAACATTGGACTCAGAGTTTAAGGACAATTGTAAGTGAGGACACTGGAAATATTCAAATAATCAAATAAATGTATAATTTTGTGATTCTAACCATTTTGCTCTTGATGTTAACTTTTGCAAGTAATTTTAAAAAAGCTGTCAAAAATCTAATTTTAAATATTTTTTAACGATTTTTTTTGTTTAGAAAATTATTATTACGTTTTATTAAATATTTTTTTAAGTTATATAACAATGTTTGCAATCGACTTTGTTTTTTAACAAAAAAATTCAAATGTGTTAGAAAAGATGAACATGTTCAGAAACGTGCACAAACTTAAAAATGATTGCTTTAACTTTTTTGGGAAAATAATTAATAATAATTTAAATAATAATCATTTTGAAAGATTGAACTTACCATGTTCGATTTATATTTTCGTTGTATTAGCTGGCGTGTTTTAGGATCTGAAATGAAAAGAAACAAAATGGATTTGTAAGTTTTAGTTTCTAATTTTGAATATTGAAGTTTTGACGAGAGTCTTGGGGCGGTTTTATGGACTTTTTAGAAAGGGTTTCAGCAGCTTGTTTTTTAAATATTTATTTATCATTTATTTATTTTTTTTTTTTGAAAAAAATTTCAAGACTTTTCATGGATTATAATTTTTTTCCCAGAATTTAAAAATTTCCTGAATAATTATCAATGACGCCCAGAATGATAGTTTTGAAATTTAAAGGTTTATATAGCTTATCCTGGATTTTGAAATACTTTTTTCCACTGATCTTAAGAACTGTAAACGTCGATTAAAAATAAACATTTTTCAAGGACGTTTATAAATATAGACGTGGACATAATTGTTTTTTCATGGATTTTCAGATATATTCTTGCAAGGACATTTAGAGCTGCAAGCGTGGACTTTTCAAAACTTTTTTTCAAGGCTTTCAGATCCTTTTTCAAAGACTATCAGAGCTATGAACCTGGAATTTTTAATACTAGTTTTTAAGGACTTTTAGCGCTATAAACATGGACTTTTAATACATATTTTATAGAACTTTCAAATCTAAAAACCTGGACTATTAAATACTTTTTTTTCAAGGACTTTCAGAGCTTGAAACGTGGATTTTATAAGTACAATTTTTCAATGAGCCATAAACGTGGATTTTTAAGGACTAGTATTCAAGGAATTTCAGAGCTATAAACATGGATTTTTAAGTACTATTTTTCAAGGACTTTCAGGGTTGTAAACGTGGATTTTTAAGTACAATTTTTCAAGGACTTTCAGAGCCATACACGTTGATTTTTTAAGGACTGTTATTCAAGGACTTTCAGAGCTATAAGCGCGGATTTTTAAGTACTATTTTTCAAGGACTTTCTAGGCTGTAAACGTGGATTTTTTATTTTATTCTTCAAGGACTTTCAGAGCTATAAATGTGAAATTTAAAGTTCTATTTTTCAAGGACTTTCGGAGCTATAAACGTGGATTTTTTAAGTACTATAATTCAAGGATTTTCTGAGCCATAAACGTGGATTTTGTAAGTACTATTTTTCAAGGACCTTTAGAGCTTCATACGTGGATGGATATAAAAGTGGATTTTTTAAGTACCGTTGTTCAAGGATTTTCAGAGCTATGAAAGGGGATTTTCAACAAGAATTTCCAGAGCTATAAACGTGGACTTTTTTAATAACTATTCTTCTAAAAGTGGATTTTTAAAGTAATATTTTTCAAGGACTTTCAGAGCTAAAAACTTGGATATTTTAAGTACTATTTCTCAAGGATTTTTAGAGCTATTAACGTGGATTTTTGAATACTATTTTTTAAGAACTTTCAGAGCTATAAACGTGGATTTTTAAGTACTATTTTTCAAGGACCTTTAGAGAGGATTTTTTAAGTATTATTTTTCAAGAAACTTTAGAGCTTCAAACGTGGATTTTTTAAGTACTATATTTCAAGGACCGTTAGAGGTAAACGTGGATTTTTTAAGTACTATATTTCAAGGACCGTTAGAGGTAAACGTGGATTTTTTAAGTACTATTTTTCAAGGATCATTAGAGCTAAACGTGGACTTCTTAAGTGCTATTTTTCAAAGACCTTTAGAGCTAAACGTGGATTTTTTAAGTATTGGTTTTCAAGGACCGTTAGAGCTAAACGTGGATTTTTTAAGTACTATTTTTCAAGGACCTTTTGAGAGGATTTTTTAATTAGTATTTTTCAAGGACCTTTTGAGAGAATTTTTTAAGTAGTATTTTTCAAGGACCTTTAGAGCTACAAACGTGGATTTTTAAGTTCTATTTTTCAAGGACTTTTAGAGCCATAAACGTGGATTTTTTAAGTGCTACTTTTCAAGGACTTCAGGATTTCTAAGTACATTTTTCAAGAGCTTTCAGAACTATAAACCTGGATGTTTAAGTACTAGTTTTTAATGGCTTTCAGTGCTATAATCGTTGTTTTTAAGTACTGGTTTAAGTTGATTTTATTTTCAAGTGAACTTTCAATATTATTGTTTCATGGAGTTTTAAAGCTAAAAAAAGTGGATACATACTAAGTTTTCAAGGACTTTCAGAGCTATGCATGTGGATTAAGAAAACTATTTTCGTAAAAACTTTTAGAATTTTGAGCTTGAAATTCTACTACTTTACTTTTCTTGGACTTTTGGAGCCAGAAACAAGTTTTTATAGGACTATAAACGAGGATTTTTATATACTAATTTTCAAGGACTTTAAGAACCATAAATGTAGATTTTTAGATATTATTCGCCAAGGACTTTCAAAGTTAATATCCCATTTTTAATGCATTTTTTAACGGTATTTTCATATACTTACTATATTCCTCCAATACGAAGATGCCACCCTTTTGTGTGAAACACTTTCGTATATGATCCAAACGAACGAAAAACTGAAATTGTAATTTTTAAGAAAAGCAGAAATTTAATTAACTGAATTCGCGTTCAATTCCTTATCTGTTTGTGTATTATTTTCGTTTTCGTTTCAACACAAAAATTACTTTCAACATTATTGAGGGAGTTTTCTTGTTTTTTTTTAGAAGGGTAAGGGTATAAATACTTTTCAAATAACTTTTCCAATACTGTGCTAAAACTATAAATTAATAATAATCGTAACCGAAACAACATGCATTCAAATTCAGATCAATCAAATAAATTACGACAATTAAAGCAATTAACAGTGGATTTTGAAGCGATATAACAAAGAGCTTGTAAATTTTTCTGGCAATATGGTCTGAAATGAAAGAAAAGGAGAGCTAAAGGCATGTTTATGATATGCTGTTGACTACTTAATACTTTATTTATTTCAATTATCAGAGCTATTTAATATAAGTTAATACAAATAATGTATAAAACTACCTAATGGGTTTGGCTAGTTAACAACCACATCCTTCACAGTTTGTCAGAGAACGCATGAAGAGGTTTTGTTTTTTAATTGAAGGAAAAGGTAATAAATAGTTTTAGAAAAGCCCCTCCTTCTAGATCCTAATCTCATACTTAAACAATAAATAATGTTGATGTTAAAAATATTCCTAAAGGGTTGTCCATATTCGACGGACCCATCTGGCAACGACATAACTTTTGACAGAGATGTCACATCGCTTAATGACATACCGCGTTTGAAGCGTCAGTCCAAGCAGATTTTTACCATGAACCAATACACGCCACGCGAGCGCTCTGAAATAGTTGAAATTTACATTCAACAGAAGAAGTGAAAAAACTCAACGTGCTTTTAAAACATTAAAAAATGTGAGAAGTGCGGCTTCTAAGAACACCATTAAGCGTTTATACGAAAAATTTTTCGACTTTTAAGGCTCTTTCTAACCCGAAGAGGCCATATAAAAGTCGACCAAGGCGATCGGCCGAGAATATCGCTGCCGTACGAGCCAGTGTTGAGAGGTCCCCAAGAACATCCCAAAAACGCCGTTCTCAGCAGTTGGACATGGCTCGGTCCACTTTACAAAGGATTATTCGCATTGATTTGCATTTGTTCCCGTACAAAATTCAATTGACGCAAAGAATGAATATGGGCAACCCTGCATTATCCTCGACGTTTTCTGCACCGAAAAGTTCAATGCAGACATAAATTTCCAGATATCTCAAATTAAATTCCAACCCGATGCAGGATCTGTTGGTGGAATGCTCTCAATGTAAATTCAAAATTGCAGACTTTATGAGAGTAAGGAGAAGAATAAGTTCGTAAATGTGTTCTATCGCTCCACATTTCCGAGTAAATCCAATACCAATAGTATCGCCCATTTAAGTTACTTTTTTTATATCCTCCATTTGTCATTCCGTTTGTAACACCTCGAAATACACAAAGTATATATATTCGTGATCAGCACAAAATTCTATGTCGATTTAGCGATGTCCGTCTGTCTATCCGTCTGTGGAAATCACTCTAGCTTCCGAACGAATTGAAGAAGATTGATAAAATTTTACTCAAATGTATATTATGTCCGCAGGATTGTTGTTATTGAAAATGGGTCATGTCGGTCCACGTTTTAGTATAGCCCCCACATAACGATACCTCCCGATTTTCGGTATTTTGATCATATTAGCGACATTATTCACCGGAATTGTTTCAAATTTGGTATTTGAAGTTCATAATGGATACTACCGCCTAGGACAGAAACTTGTCTATGCAGGTGCATGTCTTCGTCTAGCCACCATATAATGGTACCTCCCTATATTCGGTATTTTGATGATTTTAGCGACATTATTCAGCGGAATTGTTTCAAATTTGGCATTTGAAGCTCGTAATAGATACTACAGCTTATGACAGAAAATTGTCTGTGCAGGCCAAGCCTTCGTATAGCCCACTCCTATAACGGTACCTCCCTATATTCGGCATTTGGAGGATTTTAATTATGCACCGAAATTGTTTCAAATTTGGTATTTGAAGTCCGAAATGGATATTACGGCCTAGGACAGAAAATTGTCTGTGCAGGTCCATGTCTTCGTATAACCCCCATAAACGGTACCTCCCGATATTCGGCAATTTGATGATTTTAGCGACATTATTCTCCGGAATTGTTTCAAATTTGGTATCTGAAGTTCGTAATGGATAATACAGCCTAAAACAGAAAATTGTTGCATGTTTTGGTATAGCCCCCATATCATCCTCTCTATATTCGGTATTTGATGATTTTACCTACATTATTCACCGTTTTTTTTTTTTTTTCAAATTTCGCATTTGAATATTGTAGTGGATTATGACAAGAGTTGCCTGTGCAGGTCCACGTAGTCGTATGGACCCTAATATATCTATAATAAAATATATTTTAATAGAATTTTTATCGGATTTTTTTTTTTTTTTTTTTTTTTTTTGAAAATTTCCAAATTCGTTCCAAATGGTGGAGGGTATTCAAAATTGGGCCCGGACCAGATTTTTTACTTGTTTAATTTAAGACGAAGGGAGTATTCTGGTTAGTCTAAATTAATATTTTTGTCATGCTAAAATCAACTGCTACAGTTCACAATGTCGGACCGGAAGCTCCAAATTTTAACTTCTTTGAATTGCATTTTAATTTTTGCTTTTTCCAATTGTTTTTCGAATCATAGGTCAAGTATGGAAATGGAATATATTGGCCAACTCTTTTTGGTACCTCTTGCTGTGATGCCCTATAGCATCACAATATGGTAGAAGTCCTCTTATATCCACAACCATTTTGGAAAATTCCACTTTTGAAATTATGTCATAGAGCACTGCCCAGATATTACCCTTAGTTTTTTGACAAAGGACATTTGCCCAATATTTACGCACTCCGAAGTGCTGTTAGTTACCGCTAAATATAATCCAATGGTCATCCAAAATGCTTGACTTCCTCCCTGTCCTTAACACTGTCCTTCTCATGCAAAATTCCGTGTCGATTGGTTTCAATTGTGTGATCAGGAAAATGCCAAGAGGGAATTCTGACTTGACAAAATTTGTCAAAATCGGTCCTGCCATTCTTGAGATATAAGCATCCTAGCTAACGTCCCTTTCCTTTGTTTATACACATTGCATACATTTCGCTACATATATCCGATATATTTACTATCCGCATCTACGTAACGGTCATAGTTGACATTTTCGTCTATTTGTGATTTCGCCGGGATTAAAAATATTCGCGGTTTAATGGAAAATTGGAAGGCTTCTGCACAGCCCTAAGTTCTAGTCCCACGCAAACTTTCGTGTCGATTGGTCTATAAGTGCGATCTGTAGGGAAACTGCAAAATCTGGAAATTTTTGGGTTCTTGGTCCATTTCAACCCCTACATATTATGCGGTCATCTCCAAAAATAATAGGCTTCTATTCTGACATAATCCCACCTAAATGAAACATTTCGTGAGGATTGAGCCATAATTGCGATCTGTAGAGTAATTACAAAATAACATGGACAGACGGACGGACGAACGTACATAACTAGATCGACTCTGCTCGGCGAGATTCATATATACTTTCTATTTGGAATATATACTATATACTTTCCTATTTGGGAAACCAATATTTCGATGTGTTATATGATTTTTGGACCAATCAAATAAATAAATAAAAAATAAATATAAATACCCCCAACACATAGTGTTGTAGGGTATAAACATACCTTTAGCTCTCGTGACGTCATATTTTTAAATTCAAAGCTATATAAGCACAATTAATTTTGCATATTTAATATTAATTATTTTTAAGCGTTTTTTATTATTTTATATACTCTCAAAAACTAAAGTGTTAAAATTACTATAAAATGAGAAATTTATTTTTAAGCAGAGATAGATAGCAGTTCAACATAAAAAGCTTTTTACTGGGCCAACTATTAAAATTCAATTCAGATTAATACTATTTTTTATGTGTGTGTGTGGGTGGGGGGGAGTTTTCTAAAAAGCAAAGCATCAATTTAACGAAAATAAAAGCAAAGCACACATACAAACAAATGTCAACGAATGCAAAGCAAGCAAATTAAAATGCCGAGTGAAAAAAGTGTTTTTTGGTTTTTGGTAAACATAAAAATCGAAAAATAATGTTTTTATAAGCTGTATTTGTTTAAATTCAATTAATCTCTTAATTTTTGTTTTTTTTTTTCTAGAAAAACAACCGAAGAAAAATCATAAAATTCTAATTAGCACTTGTGAGATGGTCACTAATAAAATATAAATACTGGAAACATAAAAAAAAATAATTTATTTTTATCAGCCGCATGGAACAACATTTTGTTGGTTTTTGTTTTAGGGGGGTTTTGTGATTTTTTTGTTCTTTTTGGTGTTGCAGGTGATATGAAATTCAGCGCTATGTTTTTTTTTTGGTCAAACTTATCCAGATTTTGTGATTTCTTTAAAGCCAACAACAATAAATTGAACTGAACTGAAAACAAAAATACACAGCCGCCTGGGATAAATATATAGAAGGGGAAGTGGGGAGGGCGCATTTACGATCAGAAACACACGGTGTATTATACCAAATGCCGCATGGGTGGTTATAGTTCCATTCTCTGGGAGTACCTTCGGAAAACATTGAAGTTCTTAGGCTATATTATATATGTATGCTTATACATATTTATAATAGCTTCCCTAGAAAGGACTACTTCCACCAATGAGCTGGAGTGGTGATGTTAAAGAAATAAGAAAAATTCAGCTGCAATTTGAGAAATTATTATGGGTTCGGGTCGAACTTATTCTATGAAATTTTAGATTTTTCTGTAATATGAAGTGATTGGAAAACGTGTAATACCAAAAGTTTAAGTTGGGTGGTTATTTAGGAGTCGATTAACACAAAAATATTCAAAATAGATAGATCCTCTAATAAAACTTGCAAATTGTAGGTATTTTGAGGATAACCGATTTTTATGAAGGGTATAAATAGATCGGACCTAACGCCGTTTTTTCTAGTTGATTGAAAAAATTAAGGTTTTAG